GATGATGATGATGATGATGATGAAGATGATGATGATGATGATGATGATGATGATGATGATGATGAAGATGATGATGATGATGATGATGATGACGTTCTGGGCTGCTGTAGGTACATGGCGGTTCAACATGGCTCATTAATAGTAGATATAATGTAGACCTGCAGGGGGCAGCTCTACTGGCTGCAATATAAACTGATACCATACAGTCTGATGGAGAAATGAGCCTCTGCTGGCCCCTACAAACTGTCACAACGACAACCCTAACGCCTAACTTGAGGTTCCACAAATCAATGGGTGAAGTCATGATCACAGTTCACAGTTGGGCGGCCTCCATTACTAATGAAAACATACCTGTGAACACTAATGAAAACATACCTGTGAATATTATATTCCGTTTCTGACAATAGAGCCTCCTCAGTGTTACACACTTTAATGGAAATTTTTTTGGAGATACTTGTCTCGTATCTCAAAACAAAGTGTTGGTCAACGAGACTTTTTGATTTGATGGTAGTGGAGAAAAAAAGGGTTCGGGTCACCAAAGTGATCAGAAACCAGCTTCTGGGGATTGTGAATATGACTTGTTGTTTGCAAGATATTTCTCAAGTACATCACGGACGGACCGTCCAATGACCATCTGTTGGTTCTGCTTGAGTGGAGGAAAAATTAAGGTGTCAAACTCTGAAGTCTCCTCTGGTGCTGCAGTGAACATTGATTTGTTTTTCGGTCCATAAAATGTCAAAAACATTTTGATCTCTTATTCTGTCTCCAAAGATTCAGTTTATTGTCACAGAGGATGAAAGAAACCAGAAAATATTCACATATTCACATTGAGAAGACATTTGACTTAAAAAACGATTAATCGATTATCAGAATAGTTGGCGATTAATTTATAAATGATTGACTAGTTACTTACTAAGAAGGAATAGTTCAGAGTTTCCCAAACTGGAGACAGGACCAGCTTCAATCCTGCAGGGTGAATCTGACGGGCTGTGAGATAATAAACAGGATGGTGGTGAAATCAACATAATGCTACACACTGCTAACATATGGACTCTGTGAAGAGTAGACATCACTCTGCTTTAAATGGTTCAAGCCAAAAAGAGACACTGTTATAGTTGATGAGCTGAAATCACTGGTATGATCCATTAAAATTTAGTCCAGGCAGCACGAGGAGGATTTATTCAGGACAGTCTTTAAAGCTTTTGATCTCAGACAAAAATTGCTGTGGAAATTACAGTTGAAATTACTGCAATTTGTCCTCGAGAAATGTTCAAACCAATATGAGGCTCTCCGTTGTGCCGAAGCTGCTTTTGTAGTAGTGGATGAATCTGGTTTTATTCAATAGTTTTATCAACAAAGACCCTGAAAAGACCAAAACCAACAGTGAATGTGTCTAATAAGTATTGTGTGTATCAAAGGCTGATATATCTTTGTCCTCTGTGCCATAGAGCTCAGTCAGTAAGCCACACTGTTCCTTCATGACCATGAACACACACACTGTAGATTATTCAAACACCGTCCTGCTGCCAAAAATACTCCAGCACCAAATGTGGGTTCACCCACAGCTGAAAATAGTCCCTAACAAATGCACTATTCCCTTCTATTTGCTTGTAAAGTTATGAAATGTACCCCCTCATAGCAAAACAAAACCAATGGGTGCTACGGCCCACCACACTCCATTGCCAAAAAACAGTACTTTTACCAGGCAGATAATCATAAAACACACTTTAAACTGGACAGAAACAAAATAAAACTCACTAAAAACCATCTTTGTCAGTATTTCCAACAATTACCAACCCCGGTTTGGTGGAAATAAATCTGTAATTCAGCAAGTTAGATGTGAAAATGTAAACCTTTTGTTTAACAAACTGTAATATCACTATCACTCCCCACCAGACTTCAGAGACAAAAACACTCATTTTACCTTCAGATCATCGTAACTTCATTCAAAGTGGACAGAAACTAAATCAAACTGATTTAAACCGTCTCTCTTAGTGTTTCCAACAATCACCAACTCTGGTTTGGTGGAAATAAATCCTTAATTTACCGATGTAGATGATAAAAACAGCAGTTTCATTCGTTCACATACGAACAAGTGAACAATGCAAAACACAGGAAGTTGTTTGCTGCTATAGTAATGTTCTAAATATCATATATAACAATAAGATTTAAATCTCTTGAGAACCACAAGCAGGAAGTCAGAAGAGGACTGACGTGTTGTTTCTGTTGGTGTTTCTGGGAGATTTGTGGACTAATATAAACCAGAACCAGAGTTTGCTGCAGAATCACGACTTTTCACTTATAACCAAAGATAGCTGGCTGGAAAATGTGAGCGAGCATTTTTCCAGGACGCCGATAGCGACGAGGTGGAAGTGATAACGCTAGAGCGTAAACCCACAACGTCACAGTAAACAGTCAGTTTCCCACGGCAACCAATCACAGAGGGCAAGCCGACCACAGACCGTAAGCCAGCGGAGTGTGTGGCAGTAATGAGCTGTATTGTCTGTGAGGGAGGAGGGAACAACAGTAATGAGCTGTATTGTTAGTGTGTGTTATCAGACGTTATTACAGAGGCTGTAAAATAACACACTCACAACATCTGCCCTCAGTGTCTCTGTCTCCCTCCATCCTCTCTCTCTCTCTCTCTCTCTCCACCACTTTATATTATTTGTCTACATGTCGTCTTCTCCTTGTGAATCACATCAGCAAGTTGTTTCAGAACGTCAGCATATTCTCCGGTAATTCCCACTGATACTGGAATAAGAACAGTTTGCAGCCATTTTCATGGTTAAGAATAATGTAAATTGAAAACTCAGCTGAGGTGAAAAAGTTGGTGTGTGTTAGTGAGTAAATCATAAAGTACATGAAGCATGTGACTCAAACGTTCCCAGTGAGAGACAAAACATGGCGACAGACTAGAACATCAGATCTGTGTGGAGTGATGAGGAGACTGTAGCCTTCAA